CTGTTGTTGATCAGATTCTGAGAATCATTGAAATAGGTGATTCGGAACTTCTTATACCGTGCATTAAGGCTATTGGGAGTTTGGCAAGGACTTTCAGGGCAACAGAAACAAGGATTATAAGCCCATTAGTAAAGTTGCTTGATGAACAAGAACCCCAAGTTTTTAGAGAAGCTTGCATTGGGCTCACAAAGTTTACTTGCACGGATAACTATCTGCACCTAGATCACTCCAAGTCAATTATAAGTGAGGGAGGTGCAAAGCATCTGGTTCAGCTAGTCTACTTTGGGGAACAAATTGTTCAAGGTTGTGCATTGATCCTGCTATGTTACATTGCTCTGAATGTGCCAGACAGTGAAGAACTTGCACAAGCCGAGGTACTCACCGTGCTTGAATGGGCGTCAAAGCAAGCCTCTTTGATCCAAGATGAAAATGTCGAAAATTTATTGGCAGAGGCCAAAGGAAAGTTGGAGCTCTATCAATCAAGAGGATCGAGGGGATTCCGATAAAGACTTTTTTGCTAAATTATATTAAATTAGTTGGGTTGCACAATTGATATTTCCTTCAGATAAATCACTGTGGTTATTCTCATTCGTATGCAGTGTATATAACGTTATTTGTGCCTCTAAACAAGTGCAAATGATAATCTTGTGTTTTCAATTCATGTGATTCTAAATGTTTCAGTGCTAATGTTGTAGTCTCATTTGTAGAAGTATAAAGGTAAACATTGCTGTTTGGAGAGGTGTTTAAAAACACAAGCCTGCATAGCAGTTCTGGTGCTTCTTGATGACTGCGTCTGCTTGGCCATATCATCTACATAATGATTATGAACCAAAAACCAAGTGGAAAGGAACATCGATTTTAACTGTAGGACAAAATGTGTACACATCAGATTTTGACTTGGAAGGAATTTCAAGCTTTAACAGATTCTTTTTTATGGGACTGATTTTTAATGCATTGGAAATCTTTTATTTTCTAATTACATCAGAGGCTTAAAGCCAGCATCTCCTGATCTTCTATGCAGAAAAGATGAGATGTTAGATTAAACAGTTAAAAGATTGTTATTGTGAGTGATCAAGTGATAAATCGTGAACATCTTCAATTCTTTTAGGAATAGAGAAAATTGCTTAGTTATGCCTTTTGAATGTGCAAATCTAGTTCAATGTGTTTCTTTACAGTGCGTGCTCAAGTTATTGGAGCATATTAAGGAGGTTTGGTTTGATGAACTTAAGTTCTTTCACCAAATTTTATTGCCAGGAAATTTCTTCCTTCGATTGTAGATCTAGAGACGGTGGCTTGCTTCTCCGAGACTGTGTACCCATAGAAGACACAATACACAGTCTGCCAATCTGAAGCTGCTACTTAGCCCAGGAGAACAATAAACCAATAATCTATGTTCTCCTTGTACTTAAGAGGGGAAAAGAGAAGCACTCTACTAACAAAACGTCAACATGAAGCGTTGTCCTTCGATTGTAGATCTAGAGACGGTGGCTTGCTTCTCCGAGACTGTGTACCCATAGAAGACACAATACACAGTCTGCCAATCTGAAGCTGCTACTTAGCCCAGGAGAACAATAAACCAATAATCTATGTTCTCCTTGTACTTAAGAGGGGAAAAGAGAAGCACTCTACTAACAAAACGTCAACATGAAGGATCAAGACTTTGCAGTGTGTTAACTAACCTAGATTACCTCTTGAATACTTTCTAGCATCTCCCCCTTTTTTATTTTATTTTTTCCCTTTTTTTTTTTTTTTTTGCCTCCCCTTGATAAAAATGTCGAAAATTTATTGGCAGAGGCCGAAGGAAAGTTGGAGCTCTATCAATCAAGAGGATCTAGGGGATTCCAATAAAGATTTTTTTGCTAAATTATATTAAATTAGTTGGGTTGCACAATTGATATTTCCTTCAGATAAATCACTGTGGTTATTCTCATTCGTATGCAGTGTATATAATGTTATTTGTGCCTCTAAGCAAATGCAAATGATAATCTTGTGTTTTCAATTCATGTGATTCTAAATGTTTCATTGCTAATGTTGTAGTCCCATTTGTAGAAGTATAAAGGTGAACATTTCTGTTTGGAGAGGTGTTTAAACACAATCCTGCATAGCAGTTCTGGTGCTTCTTGATGACTACTTGGCCATCTCTTCTACATAATGATTATGAACCAAAAACCAAGTGAAAAGGGACATCGATTTTTACTGGAAGACAAAATGTGTACACATCAGATTTTGAGTACACATCAGATTTTGACTTGGAAGGAATTTCAAGCTTTAACAGATTCTTTGTTATGGGATTGATTTTTAATGCATATGTGTGGTTAAAAATGAGTACGGTAGAAAAAATAATGTATTGGAATCCTAGACAAACAAAGCCTAAATAATAAAGAGAAGGAAATCTAAGTCTTCATAGAGTGATTTCCTTGTCCTAGGGATGTCAACGAGCCGTGTCGAGCCGGCTCACGAGTCGGAATTCGAGGCTCGAACTTGACTCGAGTAAAATGATTGAGCTTTTTTTTGAGGCTTAATAAAAGCTTTTACTCGGCCAAAAAAATTAGGCTTGACCTAAGCTTTTGGCTCGAGTCTTTCCGAGCCGAGCATAACCAAGTTGGGCAGGCTTGATTTTGGTTTTTTTTTTTTATTATAAACATGGCAGCAATCTGCTGCCTATTAAAAGGCAATGTGCTGCTACCTTGAAAACATTTTTTTTAAATTTTTTTGTATATTTTTTTTAAATATAGGCTTGTAAACTCGAGCCAACGAGCCATACAGGCCGGCTCGAACTTTGCCCGACACCCCAAAATGGGGCTTGTCCTGAGCCTCGAGTCGGGTGGGCTCGAACTTTTTTCGAGCCAAGCCACAGACGGCCCGAACCGACTAACTCGATTGTCATCACAAGTGGCATTGCGTTGGCCTTGCAATCTACTCCACTCAATTAATAATACACATTCTACAACAATAAAATGGCATCACTCACTTTCTCCCCCTCCACCAATTCCTCTTTAGTGGCCTCACTTTTTTGGAAAATTCTATATGTACAGACCACATTTACAGAGCCCTTACAGAACTTTTAAAAAATAATGACGTGGCCCAAAAAGAAAAGGAGAAGGGCGGGAACCGTAGTGTTAAAAAAAAAGGAGGGAGGAGATTGACGACTTATTCTCTCTTCCCAAAAACAGAGCCCTAAAATGGTTTAAAGGAAACGAAGCTATTTCTCATGAAATCCCAATTAATCTTACCGATCGGAGGTCGTCTCCTCCATCCCGTGAAGGCAAGTGAAAGGGGCATTCGACTTGTGCAATTTTTAGTTCGAAAAACTCGTAGGGTTACTTCACCGAAAAGAGGAAAGCAGAATCTGAGGTTCTCTCCAAATATCCAACGTCAGGTACCTCATTATTTTTCTAGAGTTTATTGGTAAACAATTAGTGGGTACAGGAAGTAATTTATTGTAGTTGCATTTGATTTTGTGGGTTCGTAAATACGAACTAAACAGGGGAACAAGTATGTCAAAGTGAGGAAGATAAATAGGCACACAAATTAGGGCCTTCAGAAGATTACAGTGTTGATTTCTTTGGAAAATAGATTTTTTATGTCTGGGCACTTGTTCCATTATTTCTACTTCTGGCACTCGTTTTCTTCTTGATTTTATATATGTCTTATGCTATACACAAAAGGTAGACAAGTTTAAATATTTCTCTTTACATGAATTTTCCAACAATTATCAGGAACTTGAGGTGAAATATTTGGACTAATTTTTCTTTTATTTGAGACTAATTATTGACGCTTAAACTACCATTTTCCTTGAACAAGTTAGTTGAAGTACTTCATCATATTGCTTCTCGTTTCTATTATTGATTTTTATTTTGCTGAACATTATCTTTCTACCTGGACGTAGAGCGTGAAATTACGGAACCCGGGAACGAAAATGGCTTCATGCAATCCGATAATAAGATAGTTTCGAACAATATCAACATTGTGGATAACGACACCTTCGGAGGAGATGAAGAGATTGTGCTCGAGGTGGATATGACGTTTAAAGATGAAAAGGAGTTCTTTGATTTCTACAAACAATATGCCTATGCAATTGATTTTCCAGTTAGAAAAAGAAATTCGAAAAAGGGGGATGACAGAGTTGTTAGATTTGTGACATTTACATGTAGTCGTGAAGGCTGAAGGTCTAGTAATACAAATAGTGCTTTGAGGCCGCAACCAACAAGTCAGACAGATTGTAAAGTATGGATATCTGCATCTGCAGACTATCATGGCACATGGAGAATTAACACCATCAACCTCCAGTATAACCATAAAACAAGTCCTTCGAAGTCTAGGTTGTTTCGGTGCAATCGGGAATTAAGTGCAAATGTAAAACAAAAGCTTGAATTAAATGACATAGTGGGAATTCCACTGCACAAAACTTTCAACTCTGTAGTTGTGGAGGCAGGTGAGTATGAGAATATGACTTGTGTTGAAAAAGATTGCCGAAATTATATTGAACAAATCAGACGGTACAACTTGGAGAGGCAGCATTCAATCTTACTTTTCATAGATGCAAGCACGGTGCTTCGGGTTTTACTTCGCTATGGATTTGGATGATGAGTCTCGGGTTAAGAATGTATTTTGGGTAGATAATAGATGTAGGCAAGTTTACAAGGAGTTCGACGATGTTGTAACCTTTGATACCACTTATTTGACGAATAAGTATCACATGCCTTTCGCACCTTTTGTTGGTATGAATCATTACGGATAATCGACACTACTTGGTTGTGGCTTGTTATCAAATGAGAATACAAGTACATTTGTCTAGCTATTTAGGATGTGGCTCAGTGCATGCATGATCAACCTCCATGTGGAATAATTACTGATCAAGACAGAGCCATGCAGAATTCAATTGAGATTCTATTTCCGAATGTGTACCAGATTGTCTCTTTTTTATAAATGTTTCATGTGTGCCAAATTCTCTCTTTTTTTGGAGAAACTGTGGCAATGTGAAATCTTTAGTTCTCAAAAGTTGCAACTGGTCCTGTCCTCAGTTCATACATATTGATATGGCAACAAGAACTATTTCTACCTAGCATTAAGTCAAACATTTAATTACAAAACCATATTTTACATAAATTTTTCGATAGCAATCGCCAAGCAAAAACATGTTTGCAAAATATCAGTTTTGCCTACTATCTATGAAGCGCGGCCCTTCCCTTTTTCATTCCATTCACCTCGGCAGTTTCCTTTCCCTTATGGAATGTCACGTTCAATGAAATTTCAATGTCTCTTTTTTCAACTATTCTAGCTAGATTGTCGAACATGGTCGACAAATCTTCGACTTTCTCGATGGCTTCGAGATTCACTGCTTCATTAGTCGTGCTAGATTCACTGCTTGATTTTTCATTGACGACCCAATCAAAATACTCACAGTTAACACTACATATTTTGAATAATCGCCCTTTGTTCTTTGTCTCCCTTTCAACTTCAAAACATTTTTGCAGTTCATGCATACACCATGGGCATCGTCGTTTTATCGGGCAATTCAGGAAGAAGTGTCCGTACTTCTACAGCCGTGACAGACACCAACATTCCTCCCCCTCATCCTGGAACAAAAACAACAATGAATTCGGCAGCGTGAGAAATACACCAAAATTCAGAGGTCCCTTTGTTCTTTCAACTTGGCAAATTATCAAAATAATTACCAACCCCACTTAGAAAAATACATAATTTCTATAATGCTGCAACAAAAACTGGAATTTTCCTTTACAGAAAAGCTTCAACCCCTTCACTTCTTAATCTAATACAAATTAAAAGGTCCACAGAATTCCCAGTTTATAGGAAACTGAAAGATACTTTAGTTTGATTGATCAACAATTTAACATAACCGATAAAGTTCATAAGATTTAGGTATATTGCTTAACATAAAGAAACAAAATTTCTTTGATTTCAAATTTCTTTGATTTTGGGAATAACATCACTATTTTCATGTTATGATTTCTTTCTTTAAATCAATAACAACAATTCTAGGCGTGGCAGGATCTTTTTTTCTTACGCATTTCTCTAATTCTCAAAAACACAGTAATATGAATAAATAACCATCCCAACTAGTGCAACCATAATCCAAATATGTTCCTCCAGCGAAATGGATCATTGAGTAAGACATAGCCGAATACTGCACAAATTCTAAAGTTTCCAGAAATCAAATTTCGCAAATCGAATTTTTGCCCAACGTTCATAATCATAATCTTCCATTCACACCACTATAATCCCAAAATTACCAAACACCAGCTTCTTGAAACAACTAAAATACGAAATGAAATTCGGCTTACCTGAAGGTAAAAGATATCAGATACTGGGAGGACACTACTCCACAAACTGAAAATGGGGAAGAGATGGTTACGACGTTCCGAATCCACGAAAAGGGGAAGCAAGACAGGTTGACGGACGGGGATTTTGCAGCGGCGATTCGTCGATCGGGCTGCCGGAGGTGGTCTTCCCAGAGGCGACTCGTCGATCAGTCGGCCGGAGGTGGATTTCATGGAGGAGATTCGTCCGTCGACTGGATGGAGGTGGAGGCGATTTTTAGGGTTCCAAATGGTGAGAGGATTTTCCTTTCCTTTATTGTTGTTTTCTTTTGTTATTGGAAAATTCATTTTTCAAGGCAAATGATACGTCATTCTGTGAAGGCTCTGTGAAAGAACCATTCTATACGTCTAGCGCGACCGCACTTTTTTTTTTTTTTACTCTATTACCTTTCTTTCTTTAACCCTTTCTATCCCTGCACACGGCCATGGCTGCTGCAATAAGTGCTGAAGTCTCTCTTCATTCCTCCAATTCTACTTCCCTTCCAACCAGAAAACCCTCCATTGTTTCACCTGAAAGAGTCAAATTCAACAAGGTATAATAACTTTTCTCATTTTGTAGGGTTTTCTGTCACAATTATGATTGAGTTCACAATTATTTTGTTAAATTGGTCATAGAGTTGGCCATGACCTAGTGAAATATCACGTTGATTTGATTTCACTAGATCGATCCTAGCAAATAATTTACCTTTGTTCATTGTTCGAATTGTTTGAGACATTCATGTTGGGCATTGACCTAATATAACTGTTCTCATTTGTGGGATTCTTAGCCAATATTTTATTTTGAGTTCACATTGTAGGATTTGGTTATTAATATTTGCAGGTTTCATAGTTATTCAGAAATGTTGCTTATGGTGCCGAGGCTTTATCTGTCAGAGCTCAGGTCACAAAAGAGGCCACTGCCAAGTCTGAGAAGGTTTCAAAGAAACAGGATGAAAGTGTAACAGTCAACAAATACAGGCCTGAGGAACCATATATTGGCAAGTGCCTTCTCAACACAAAGATCACTGGAGATGATGCCCCGGGAGAAGCCTGGCATATGGTCTTCAGCACCGAGGGTAACCCATCAAAATCTTCAATTTTTACTATAATTTACTTTAGATCTAATTGAATAAACTGGTTAAATGATTAACTCCATTCCCTGACAATGGCACCTCTTTTGCCGACTACGTTTCCTGAATTGACTGCTTGGAAATGGAATTCACCCCACAAATCAAAAATATATGAAGGACAACTGTTAGTAAACAGTAACTCTACATGCCAGTGGTGAGATGTATGGAAGTTTTCATGTTAGAGGAAGTGTTAACAATAAACATGTTTAGTATTTGTATATTTCTTATTGTAACAATCCGTTTAGCATTCTTTAGTTTATAATTCTTATTAATACTCCCACAACTGTAGAGATGAGAGAATAGGTAGACATACTTGAGTAAGAGAAGTTAAGTGGTTCTGGGGAAACTCTCTCTAATTTGATTTATGTTGTGGTATTAGAGCAATGGTTTTCTTTTGTCCTTGACTAAAACTAGAGTGGGATTTCTTCTCCTACAGGCATAATCCATGTCCAAGCCACAGTTTTTTTTTTTTATTTTTGAAAATTTAAAATTGAAAAAAAAAAAAAAAAAAAAAAAAGGTTTTGGGTTTACATATAACATTATTTTATAGGACAATGTGGAGTTGAAAATGAGTTTTGAAAAATGCAATTTTGGAAAAATGGAGCCTAAATAGAGGCTGCATATCATAAAAAAATTCATAATGCTGGCTGATAGTATCATGATCATTATCAATAATTACCTCCAAAGTTGATCATTTCCTTAGTTTTGAGTCCATCCTTGACTCACCAATTTTTTCACATCAGCATAATTCGAAACAAATGGGAAGTTTTCATTAAAAACTTATTCATTTTCTTTCTATAATCACATTTTAAGTTTTCTCATCACAAAAGCATACCATTACAATGGCTGAACAACAAACTCTTCAAATCTCTATTTTCTTATGTTCCTCAATCAGCAATCACTACGGAACCTTAAACACAACTCCATATATTTCATATTTTTTAGTTGACTACAATTGTCATATAGTGAAACTGTGTGCGAATTTCGGATATTCACCGTGATCAAATCTATCAATCTTCAGTTTCTACATTGTCCAATCCTATCATCATACATACAACTCACTGTGCCCATGTTGCTTCTTAATTGGATCAGTGCCACGAGTTTTATGTAACGTGATTTTATACCGCAAGCGCACGGTGTCAAGTTTTGTAGTTATTAAAGAATTGAAAAGTGTCGAACCCATAGGGATTGATATTCGACTTCCACTGAGTACTATAATTGTGTTTGCGTTTACTTTATCTAGATAATCGGATGTTAAATTGATGTTTGAATGCTAAACTAATATCGATGAATTTGATAATGCAAGAAAAGTGAAGCAATTTCTAAAGATTAATTCAGAATTTCATAAAGTCTAGGGGGTGATTTCACCGTATTATCAACATAATTCTCAACCCCTATAGATACTTCCATTAATTATTTCCCGAATTCATAGGCAAGAATCCTAAATTAACTCTATTTCCCCCTCTCGAGCGTCAAATAGAACCTATCTCTATAATTCAACCCCAATATCTCTATTCCGAGTTAAATTTATAAAGATTGTCACGCACTAGGTTCTTGTTTTACCCTCAAAGAATTGCACTTTCTCTCGAAATCTACAAATCTAGGTTATATTGTTCTTAGATCATGTCTAAATTTCCCTCTCTCGAACGTTAAACTTAGAGCATCATTTCATTCAATTGGTGATCAAGCAACCGAAAGTATTAAGCAAGAACAATATAAATCAATTCTGGAAAATTAAATGGAAATACTATAAAGAAATTGAATCATGTCTCAAATAGGTTACATCAAACCCTAAATTTAATAACTTAGTTCATGATTGAGGAGAAGAACATGATAAAATATAAATTAAATCTCATGGAGGAGAAAGATGAGAAAAAACTCAGGTTGCAGCTTGATTCCTTCTCCAAGATCCGATGATTCTTCTCTCAATTAGTGTATCTCCTTGCCTCCTTTCTTCAGTTGTCAAAACCTACTTTCTTACGTTGTCCATATGTATTTATAATCCCCTTGATTTGCATTACGAGTTGGAGTTGGGCCGGGTCAAAAAATATTTGAAAAATCTCGTTTTTCCTTTCTTGGCATGCAGCGCCTAGGCGCTGCGTTTTTGCTTCGTTTCAGTTTGTGTAGCGCCTGGGCGCTGTAGTTCTGCTTCCTCTGCGTGTTCAGTGCCTGGGCGCTGTGTTATAATTGGTTTTCTTCCTTCTTTCTTCCATCGTCTTCCACGTGCCTCTTGATGCTTCTTCTTGTCCATTCACTTCTGTGAAACTTTGACTCCTTTCCACCCTTCAAACTCACCATTTCATCAAATTGGTTTACCTATAAAACAACACGAATACCAGCATCAAAACGTTCTACTTTTCTCGAAAACAACCAAATATTTCAAGTTTAAGAGACATTAAATCAATGAGTGAAATTCACTCATCAATCAGCCTTCATCAAACCAAATAATTTATCTACTCATTCACCGTACAAGGGCTCTGAAGACCTCTGGATATGCGATGGCACTAGTTTGCGCATTACACATGTTTAGGGATGTCAGTTTGGCTCATCGACTTGGGCGACTTGTGGCTTGGCCCGAGAAAAGCTCGGGCTGGCTCAGCTTGAGGTTTGATGGGACAGAGCATCAGTTCGAGCCGAGCCTTATTTTTGAGTATCCTTGCTAATTGCTAACTAACTGAATAATAAGGGGTCTATCAGATGTCTATAAATGGCATGCTCATGTTTCATTTCACCACTACTAATTGCCTTCTCTAGTGTCAAAGTACCCATTTCAC